AGGAAGAAGACAAAACAAATTTTTGATAAACTGGTAGCAATCTGCAATAAGACTCAGAAAGCACGAACTATAAAAGATTGATGAATGCAGCTACATTAAGATTAGGAAAAGACAAGATAGGAAACACAGCCCACGAAGATGAAACATGCTCAATCACATCAGTACAAGAGAAACGCAAATTAAGCCACAATTAGATACTATTTCACCCCTTATAGATTATCAAATCTTTAAAAATCTGTCAGTACCAAGTATTGACAAAGATATAGAGTGGTGGGAACTCTCATCTATTGCTGTTGGGTGTGTAAATTGTTACATTTATTAGGGAAAACAGTTTGGCATTACTTCTTAAAGTTGAAAATGTATATATCCTATTTCCAGGTCTTTTCGCAGGGAACTAAGAGGCATGTTGACATGTTGTTTTATAATAGCCCCAAACTGGAAACATCCTAAAAGCCCATCAAAAAGAATAGATTCATCAAATGTGGTATATTCCTGCAATGGAATTCTCAGAACCAGTGAATATGACTGAACCACAGCTACACAGAAATATGGATGGTTCCCAAAACACATATGCGATGAAAAATCAAGAGTATGATTCCACGTTTGTAAAGTTCCAGAAAAAGCAAAACTAAGTAATATACTGTCGATACATAAACAGAGAGGTGGTATGAATACATAATCCAATGGAATGGTTTACGTCAAGCTCAGTATCTGTTAACCTTTGGCGAAGGAGGGAGATGAAATTGGAGAGAATTTAAGGGGCTTTTGTTATTCTGAAAATGATCTATTTCTTAACTAGGATGAAGATGCATGAGTGTCCTTTTATTACTATTATTTACTGTCAGATATCTTCATACACATTTGAATTATGATATTATTTCACAGTAAGCACAGACAAGTTTATTCTGAAATATTGCTAACATACAAGCATAGAAAATAGATTTTAAAGTACATTCATATCTGCACCACACAGATTTCTTTTTTTTTTTTTTTTTGGTGAGGAAGATCAGCCCTGAGCTAACATCTGTTGCCAATCCTCCTCTTTTTGCTGAGGAATATTGGCCCTGGGCTAACATCTGTGCCCATTTTCCTCTACTTTATACGTGGGACGCCTGCCACAGCATGGTTTGATAAGTGGTGCATAGGCCTGCACCCGGGATCTGAACCTGTGAACCCTGGGCTGCTGAAGCGGAGCACGTGAACTTAACCACTATGCCACCGGGCAGGCCCCCAGATTTATCAATTCTTAACACGCCATGTTTGTTTTAGATTGTTTTTAAAGAAATAAAACAATATATGCTGTTAAGGACCCTCATGTGCCCTCTCTATTCCCATTCCTTTCTCTCCCCCATCAGAAGGAATAACTATCCTGAAATTATGTATCCTTCTTTTCCCCATTTTATACTTTATGTACAAGATCTTGCATCCATAAACAATATATGTCCTGCTGCAGGTTTTAAATTTTATGCAGAGCATATTATACTCCAAATGTCATTTTGGAACTAGATTTGCCATTTTTAGATTGATTTATGTTTATGCATACAGATCCAGTTTATCCAAACTGCTATAAAGTAATCCCAGAGAGAGAAAGGTGGCAAAATGTTAAATGTGGTGCATCTCGGCAGATGGTGTAAAGGAGTTTTCTGTATTACTTTTGTAACTTTTTGAAAATTGGAAATTATTTCAGAATAACAACATCGGTACTGATTCACATACACTAGCAATATGGGCTTTGAAATGGAAGTGGGGAAAACATCCATTTATAATAGTGACACAGATAATTAGCCATAAATTTAATTTTAAAAAAATAAAAGAACTTATCTGAAAATTTATATTTTGCCAGGAAGTCATCTATTTCTACTTTAAAATTTACTTTAGAATTTCAAGTAGAGGGCCGGCCCTGTGGCTTGGTGGTTAAGTGCGCGCGCTGCGATGCTGGCGGCCCGGGTTTGGATCCCGGGTGCGCATCGAGGCACCACTTCTCCGTTCATCCTGAGGCCGAGTCCCACATGCAGCAACTAGAAGGATGTGCAGCTACGACACACAACTATCCACTGGGGCTTTGGGGGGAAAAAATAAAATAAATAAAATCTTTAAAAAAAAAAAAAAAAAAATTTCAAGTAGAGTTTCTGCTTTATACTTGCTTGCACCCAGTTTCCCCTCTTCTTCATTTCCACCAGCTAACAAATGTTAACAAATGGAGAACTCACCTTGATGAGAGCTACAGCTGAGAATGAACTTGAACAAGGTCCAGATCCACACAGGTGTTGTCAAAATTCAAATGGTGTGAGCTGCATACTAGTCTTGCATATGATCACGTTATGTGACATTTTAGTCAACTGTAACCCGATTGTAAAAATATGAGAAAATGAAAGCATTTATCAATTTTTATCTTATTTTCAGTCATTTAAATTTTAAAACAGCCTGTTTTTTAATTTATAGTTGAGGATTATTAGCTAAAGTAGACAAATTACATTTGTATTATTTATTTTTCTCCTTGATTTAAATGTGGTGAAAAAAGGTTCACTGGTCTTGTCAAGAAAAGATGTACCTTTTCTAGTCCAGTGGAATATTCTAGACCGTCGATGCCAGACTCTCTCAGCCTTCACCGATTGAGCTGATGCTTGCTCAGTCTATCCAGGCATGGAGCACAATGGGTCCAGCCCATTAGCCAAATAGGAAAGCCAAAACTTGAGCATTTCTTCCCCATTATCTTCTCTGGAGGGCTAGTTTGGAGCTCTTGCCGTAGTGCTAAATGCTAACGTGACCACATATTGACAGTGACGTTGCTAATCAGTGCTCTTGGCCTGCGACTGTAGTCTAGACTCTTGGGGAAGGCAGGAAGCCTAACCTGCGCTCACTCTCTTGAGGTGGGGGCTCCTTTCTTCCAAAGCAAGTTAGTTCAGCAAGGCTTCCAGACTAGCTCCATCTCTCCCTCCCTTGTGTCCCAGGAATTCTACTGAAAAAAATATTTTCAGCAAGCCAAACATTTTATAAAGGTCATTTATAAAGGGGAAAGAAGTTCATTTAATTTAGTTGTAAACAGAGAAGGAAGTGACACCAAGTGCAAGCTCCCTTGTTTCTCCATAAGTCCTCAGGGTCTACTAGGGCTGTCCAATAAAGCTGCCTGTGAGGATAGGAATGTTCTATATCTGTGCTGACCCTGAAATGCAGCTTTTGACTGAAGAACTTCATTTGCTCTTGTTTTTTTTTACTTAAATAGCCTCATGTGGCTAGTGGCTACCATACTGAATAGCACAGCTCTTTTCTTTCCCTTGGGACAGATGTGGCTGATGGTAGGCACGTTTCACGTTAACCCTGGATCCTTTAGTTGTGCCCTTCCTGGAAAGCTGAAAGCTTGTGCATTATCTGAACAGAATAGATTTAATAGCCTGGGCCAGACTTCTGTGTACTCAAGCCTGGATCTGCTTTTCACAGGTCATCTCCCACGGTTGTTTTAAGGGGGACTTCTCTCTCAGTCGCTTACTTCCTAACCAGTCAGAAGTCTCAACTTCTTAACTTTGCTTAGGGAAATACAATTTGGCAACGCTTTCTTGTAGCCAACTCATGCCGACAAGTACAAAAATAGCGATTAGGTATTTTTGAACCTAATATACAAATCTAACACTAATCATTATTTTCCTTCTGCAAGGATTAAGATTCCTCGATTTTATGGGGTGCCACTTGCTTTCTTCTCTTTCTCAATACAACTTTTTTGTTTTTATATGCTGGGTAAGAAGTTCATGGAATTGGGAGGAGCAAGAAAATAAAATCAAGAAGAAACTAGAGGGGATTTGAACAATAAGAGAGGGTCTAAACATGGGGCTGGCCCCGTGGCATAGCGGTTAAGTGCACCCGCTCCACGTGCTGGCAGCCCAGGTTCGGATCCCGGGCACACACCGATGCACCACTTGTCAGGCCATGCTGTGGCAGCGTCCCATATAAAGTGGAGGAAGATGGGCATGGATGTTAGCCCAGGGCCAGTCTTCCTCAGCAAAAAAAGAGGAGGATTGGCATGGATATTAGCTCAGGGCTGGTCTTCCTTACAAAAAAAAAAAAGAGACAGAGGGTCTAAATAGCAGCAATTTTTAACACAGACCTAAGAGGATGCTTAGGATATTAGAATTTCAAATGGATTTCTTGTGTTGGTGAGCTGTAGGGAAGAGTAATAGAGTCAGCTCAACCTGTTTAACCTGAACCTCAGAACATGGTTGGAATAATTATGGAAACAAAAGGGATATGGCTCCTCAAGGACTATAGTCGACACTTTTTGAGTACAATCAACTTATTTGTGGGGAGAAGTGTTGAAACACTGGTAGAGACACACAGAAGGGAAGACAGCTAATAAAGCAGCGACGATGGTGAGTGAATGGGGGTAATCGCACGGGAAAACTCTGAAACAGTGTAAAACACATGCTTCAGAGATATTCCACCCAAGGGGAGAGGGAGATCTGGTATTTATCAATTTCCCATCAAGCACTGATTGAGGCCTGCTCCCAGGATGTGCTAGTTAACCCACAGAGCAGTGGCATGGTTTCAGAAAAAGCCTGCAGGCCAAGAGACACAGACAGTGCAAGTCAGACGAAGCACGCAGAAGGCGTAAGGCTGGAGGGGCAGGGCCAGGCCCCAACAGCACCTGCTATAAGCATTGGCTTAGAACTCTCAGGAGGATCTAGCAGCACACTAATTTTAGTTTATAAATTTTAGTAATTCTTAATACCTCACTAGTTACTAGTGAGTAGCCCTTACTTTATTTTTAAAAAGTCTATGCAGTATCAGGTCATTCTTCTATATGAAACCAAGTAAAGCATTCTTAAATCATTCATGATCCATCACATGGTCTCCAGCCTGGGGGACCACAGAGCAAAGCTTCTATGCCTCCCATCTGCCTTAACCTGACTTGGGGGAATCAAAGTATATACAGGGGGCTCAAGGGAGACTGGACACAACAGCCTATTACAATTTCTATTAAGTACTTCTGGACTACAGCAAGAACGTCAGCTACAAAAAGAGGGTCCCCCAGAAAAACAAATTTCAGGTCCTGTTTATTTTCACAAAACAATGGAGTTACATATACTTGCAAAAAGTTTAAGTTCTGGTCTTTAAATAGTCGCTTTTCCGGTTCATATCAAGTAGATATCTGCTCTCTGTGAGTACCCTGATGCTTAATAAAGCTTGTGCGCCAACTGAAAGATTTCCCACATTTGTCACATCTATAGGGTCTCTCTCCAGTATGAATGACCTCATGCCGATGAAGATTTGCCTTAAAACTAAAAGTTTTTCCACATTCTCTACATTCAAAGAATTCCTCCTTGGTATGGATTCTTTGATGCTGAATGAGATCTACATTCCGACCAAAGGATTCTCCACATTCACCGCATTTATGAGTGTTGTGTTTAGTGTGAATCTGTTGATGGCTCATGAGGGTTGAATGCCGACCAAAGGCTTTTCCACACTCAAGGCATTTATGGGGCTTTTCTCCACTATGGATTAACTGATGTCGAATAAGGGTTGAATTCTGACTAAATGACCTTTCACATTCACTACATTTATAGGGTTTTTCTTTGGTATGGATCCTCTTGTGTTCAACAAGATATGCCATCTGACGGAAACATTTTCCACAGTCATGACATTTATATGGCTTTTGTTGAGGGTGACACCGTTTATGGACACTGAGAGCAGACTTCTGTTTGAAGGCGTGCCCACACACGTCACACTCAAAGGGATAGTCTGAAGTGTGCATTCTTTGATGTCGAACAAAATTTGCCTGACGCCTGAAGCCTCTTCCACATTCACTACATTCATAAGATTTTGCATTTGTAAGAATTCGCTTATGCCTCCAAAGCAATGATCTTTGATGGAAGGGTTTTCCATATTCATCATATTTGCCCCGCTTCTTTCTTGTTTGAGCATTCTGACCTTGAATAAGGTTAAGATTTTGAAGGAAGTCCTTGTTGCATTCACCACCAATAGTAGGGAGTGCAAGTCTGTAAATGTCCACAAATTCATTACATTTATGTAATTTTTCTGAAGGTATCTTGGCCGTTTTCTGCTTTACCGCTGATATCTTACATGATTCTAAATCTTCAGAAATTTTCTGCTTTGGAGTTAGCTTTTTCATCCTGTATCTGGCTTCAGAGCCTAGCCAAATAAAAAAATATATATAAATGACCTGTCCACTACAGAAGGAAAAAAGAAAAAGAAGCCAACTGTTTGTGATATCAGACACTCAAATGAAGCTAAGAAGTGCTCACTTAGTGACATCATCATACTGAAGTGGCCAAAATTCAGATTTTCATAAGACTCTCAGCTTTCGTTAACAGAAGAGCTCTTAACATCAACCAACTAAAATGCACAAGAATGTGTGTCAAAGAAGGCGAGAACTGAACCCATTATAGGAAAAACAACTTACTCTAGGCACTCGGTAGTGTCACATAAATGTAGGAGAGGTAGCATCTTAAACTTTCTAGATAAGCATGTTTTTAATAACCGGGAGAAACAACTCCTTAAAAATGGAGAAAGAGGGGCCGGCCCAGTGGCATAGTCATTAAGTTCACATGATCTGCTTTGGTGGCCCAGGGATCACAGGCTCAGATCCCAGGTGCGGACCTAGGTACCACGCATCAAGCCATGCTGTGGCAGTGTCCCATATACAAAATAGAGGAAGATGGGCACAGATGTTAGCTCAGGGCCAATCTTCCTCACCAAAAAAAAAAAAAAAAAAAAACAGAAAAGGAGAAAGTATAAGATAGAATAGAAAAGGAACCAGAGGGAGTAGGTACAAAAGCCAAGGGAATAGAGCAGTGGTTCTCAACCACAGAAGGTTTTGCCTCCTGGGGAACATTTGACAATGTCGGGAGACATTTTGTCACAACTAGGGTGGTACTACTGGAATCTAATGGGTAGAGGCCAAGGATGCTGCTAAACATCCTACAATGCACAGGACAGCTCTCCCACAACAAAGAACTATCCAACCCCAAGTGTCAACAGTGCCGAGGCTGAGAAACCATGGGGTAGAGGGATGTGAAAAAGGGTAGACGCAGCAATCAGGACACAGCAAGTAGTTAAAAGTAGGTCCATCAAGAAACACCGAGGGAATATGAAAAACAAAATGGAAGCAAGGGAACAAGAGAAAGGATAAGAAATGAAGGTAGAATAAAGGAGTATCTAGAATGGCATAAGAGCTGTCAGAAAACAGAGAGCAACTGCTTCAGAGAAGCACTTTACTGCACTAGAAAGAGGAGGAGCCCTGCAGACTTGAAATCAAATCCCAACTATCAATCCACTAACTGTGTAACAGATGTCTTAACCTTTCAGTGTCTTCATCTGGAAAATGGGGATGATGGTCACACCCGCCACCATCAGAGGGCAGCAGGGATTCATGAATAAGTGGGAAAATATAGGCCCACCCCTGGCTCAGTATCTGGGGCACAGAAAGGCCTTCATTAATGTGACTTCCTTCCTCTGCAGGACTTACACTGAACTGGGGCTTCTCCTCACCCACCTGGGCAAGCACTACTGGAAGCCTTCCTAGTCCCAGCTCTTGGCAGATCCAGGATCCACGGCTCTTCCCACTGCTCCAGCTGACAGATCACCTCAGGTTTGGGAAACTGAAATCCTACTCACGGGGAAGTAAATGGGATGTGGCAGTTAGTGAGTTACAGAGAGACATCCTAGAGTTCAGCTGAACCCTGTTGGGTCTACAGTGGTGGCAAAGATAAGGACACTAACCAAAACGGCTGGTGAGAATGGAAATCAGCACAATCTTTGTGAAAATCAGGCAATCTTTATTGACAGCCTGAACAATATCCACACCCCAGGATGCAGTAATTTCCCTCTTATAAATACAGACAGTCCCCGACTTACAATTTTTTGACTTTAAGCGATATACATTCGGTATAAACTGTACTTCAAATTTTGAATGTTGATCTTTTCCCAGGCTAGCGATATGCAGTACGACACTCTCATGAGCTGCAGCTCCCAGTCAGCCATGTGATCACGAGGTCAAACAACCAATACACTTACAACATTCTGTACCCAGACAACCATTCTGTTTTTCAATTTCAGCACAGTTTTCAATAAATTACATGAGATAGTCAACACTTTATTATAAAATAGGCTTTGTGTTAGATGATTTTGCCCAACTGTATGCTAACGTGAGTGTTCTGAACACATTTAAGGGAGGCTAGGCTAAGCTATGATGTTGAGTAGGTAGGTGTATTAAACGCATTTTCGACTTATGATATTTTCAAATTACAATGGGTTTATCGGGACATAACCCCATCATAAGTCAAGGAAGATCTACACAGCGTAAGGAAAAATTAGGACAAAGATTAATGTACCTGAGATGTTCAGCTGACTTGTAATAGAGCAAAACTGGAAATAAATAAACTAAATGTCAATAGGGGAATGATTAAAGTGTAACATTTTAACACAATGAAGGCAAAAGTATTAGGCAGATATTAAAAATCCATGTGTTCAAAGAATATTTATTAAAATAGAAAAATCTCCCTATATATATATATTTTTTTTTTAAGATTTTATTTATTTATTTTATTTCCCCCCAAAGCCCCAGTACATAGTTGTATGTCATAGCTGCACATCCTTCTAGTTCCTGTATGTGGGACGCGGCCTCAGCATGGCCGGAGAAGCGGTGCATCGGTGCGTGCCCGGGATCCGAACCCGGGCCGCCAGCAGCGGAGCGTGCGCACTTAACCGCTAAGCCACAGGGCCGGCCCATCCCTATATATTTTAAAACAGACTACAACACTCATGTAAAGTATGATTCAACTTTTATTTTTAAAAACTATATATGTGTGGGTATATGTATATAAGTGTACATACATACGAAAAAGTACACCAAAATCTTAACATGGGTTATATCTGGGCAGTGGGCCAGCCAATGATTTTTATTTTCTATTCAAACATTTAAAAATCATTCAGTAATATATATTAAGAGATTAAAAGTGCCACACCATTTAACTCCAAAATTCCAGTTCTGGGAATGTATCTTGGGGAATAATCAGAAATTCATGTAAGGATTTATAGTCAGAAACATCCACTGGAACATTGTAATACAGAAAATGATAAATACATAAGCAAACCAACAAATAAAAACCAAGCTAAACACCCCCAATGGGAAAATGATGAAATACTATGGATCATACAATAGAATTATATTATGATCATTTACTATATTTATGGGGTTTTTTTTTTTTTTTTGTGAGGAAGATCAGCCCTGAGCTAACATCTGCCAATCCTCTTTTTGCTGAGGAAGACTGGCCCTGGGCTAACATCCATGCCCATCTTCCTCCACTTTATATGGGACGCCGCCACAGCATGGCTTGCCAAGCGCTGCGTCAGTGCGCGCTCAGGATCCGAACTGGCGAACTCCGGGCCGCCACAGCGGAGTGCGTGCACTTAACCGCTTGCGCCACCAGGCTGGCCCCGATGGGGGCTTTTAATAACAGGGGGAAAATGCTGATGCTATCAGGTTAAGTTTTAAAGGGATTACAGAATTATGCAAAGAACATGCTCAGCTACATTTTTTAAAAGCATAGGGGAAAAAAACTGGAAGGAAATATTCCCAAATAGCAAGTGTTAGCCCTGAACGTTTTCCCCGGCTCTCATCCTATACCTTCCATGTTTTCAAGCATGCTTTTGTAATACTTTTAAAAGGAAAATAAACATTAAAAAATCCAGTGGTGGTTGGACAACCCCACAAGAAGTGGTCAAGACTCTGTGCCAAGAGTGTCAGTGTGGGGGCCAAACACGCGGCCCCAAAAAGAAGCTATTTAATGAGGAAAATCCCACAGTAGGAGCCTCGGCGTTGGAACAAGACAAAGGCAGGCTCCTGGCAAGATAGAAGCAGTGAAGGGTCAGAAATGAAGCCAGTTAAGCATTTCCTGGGCACCCAGTGATGTTGCAAACAAGGAAGGAACCCAATTCCAAAGAGAGGAAAGAAAAAGACTGTTCAAGAGAAAAAGAAGCTCGCCTTTGGAATCCAAATCAGCCACAGTCTTTTCACCTCCTAGAGGTCTTACAGACATGGAAGATGCAGGTGGGGGTGGGGAATGGATTAAGCATCCCCGACTTCTAAAACAAAAGGAAACTATTCATTGTCCACAATCCCTTATTTGAAAACCTTGAGACCAGATGTGTTTCAGGATTCAGGATTTTTCCAAATCTTACAAAGGTGCCTTGGTGTTTATATTTTCTATCATGTACCACCCCAAACAGGGTCTGGAACTGTACTTATAATCAAACACAGTGATATTTCTGATGCTAAATATATAGATACAAAGACCAAGTGGGAAAAATAAGGATGACAAATAGCCTCCTGTAGGATGAAATCAGGTTTTACCACCTGATGACTTGAGGGTGGGTCTTGTAGCCAAACGAGCTATGAAAAAACTTCTGGTTTTCAGAGCTTTTTCTGATTTTGGAATTGCAGATAAGGGATTGAGGACTCGTGCAGACTCAAAGCCAAATCTTCAAGCTGAGTCCTTACCCAACAAGATCAAGTTTCTGTAATTCTCCAGCATCACATCTCTGTAGAGGTCCTTCTGAGCCCAGTCAAGCTGGTTCCACTCTTCCCTGGTGAAGAACAGAGCCACATCCTCAAAGGACAGCAACTCCTGAAAACACAGCGACTAATTATAGCTCCTGTTCTTGCCATAACTTTGTGAGCTATTACTATTCTACAAGTGAGGTGTGATAAGGTAAAGTGACTTGGCCAAGTCAAGTCATTGGCCTACTCATTCAATTAACAAGTAGATTCAGGGCTCGACTCAAGTCTTCTGACCATCAGGCCAGGCCTCTTCTTTCTTCTATACTACAGAGTCGACAAACTTTTTCTCCAGAGGGCCATATGGCAAATACTTTAGGCTTCTCAAGCCACTTAGTCTCTGCTGCAATTATTCTGCTCTGCTGCTACAGCACAAACATACCCATAGACAACAGAAAGCGAATGGGCGTGGCTATGTTCCAATAAAACGTTACTAACAAGTCCAGGTCAGTTTGCCGACCCCTGCTCTATACGATAGTACCTTTGACAAATAATATATTTCTTCTGTCCCAAATTCCTTTAGGAAAGAGATGGCACACTCAAATGAGGTTAGTGAGGATAGGTTAGCATGCAGACCACTCACATAGGAATGAACAGGCTTAAAGGAAACCAACAAGGCACACTGAAGCACCCAGGGGTTGGCTATCATGGGGAACCATTACCCACTAGGTCTGAAGGGGAAGGTAAGGGAGGGGTTATTGGAGTCTAGAAAATTGTTGGAGAAGGAGCAAGACTGGAGCCCAAGGCCTTAGAGGAATGCAGCCACTGTCATCCTGCAGCCCAGCAGGGAGGGAGCTGTGGGAATAAACACCCGACATCAATTTCCTCCAGGCCTCTGGTCCCCTGACCCCCTCCATCCCATTGCCAAAAGCCAACCAGAAGCCAGAGGGCAAGGGAGCCCATCAACGGTGAATATAAAGGGCAGCCTGCCAGGATACAGACCAAAGTAGGGAAGGGTGGAGAGATATATATATCCAGAGGGGGCAAAGGGAGACTGTTCAGCACAATGTCCATGGCAGAAGTTTCCATCTGCAATTGTGTTCAACTCCTGTTGAACAGGTGCCTCACTCACACGCTCTTGCAGCCCTTGGAGCAGACAGGCCATGTCTGCCCCTCGCCCTTCTCTTACGAGACACTGCATGAGTTCACAAGGTATTTGTGCAGGGAAAGGGCGATGAGTAACAGGAAATACCCATCCCCATCCTGAGAAGCTTCACGTAGCTAGCTCCCCTCCGGAGACAGATATCAGAATCTCCCAAATTACATGGTCTTTCTTTCCTTCGTACCAAAGCTGATTTTCAGGGTTATGGTTTCAAGCTCTCTCTCACCACCATCCCAAATGTCCCTCCCTTTACCGCAGCTGCCCTGCAGATCTTCTCAACCTGACCCCAACTCAGTGCCTGCATTCTCTGCACCTCCGTGAAGATTAACAATCACTGGGGAATAAAATGGTTTAATCTCCCATCAAGTTGTCTCTGTACATTTAGGTTTACAGTTGGCCCCTTAATGTTGCTCAGCAACTCCTTCTCTCATATTCCTCACCAGTGATATTCTACACCTTTATCACTCTTGTTTCTTCAAGAAACATTTACTGAGCACTGATAAGTCGCAAGACTTCATGCTGTAGGTTACAGCTCCTGCTGAGGCCACAGGATATAGCTATTCAGGCTGTGCACTGCTCAAGTTGTGTGAATGGGGCCCCCTAGAGTTGTTCAATGCACAACCTATACAACCCCCTAGCAGCCCTGGTCCCTGCTCCAGGCAGTGAATGGCCCAGTCAGGGAAGATGGAGAAGTCAACTGCTAATGATCTAGTGGTCAATGCCCCATGGGAGGTAATCAGAGGGGGCTATGAGGACATGTTGCTCACCCCCAACCCCTCCCTTTCAGGGGGCACTGCCCAGTTAAGTCCCAGAAAATAGCCCACGAGGCACACGCTCTTTAACTCCTCACACATTCCCACCATCTTCCCCAGACATTACCCATATTTTCACTCATCCTCCTCTCTTCTGTCTCAGAGGAAGAGGTCGCTCTTCTAGTAATCCCTCCTCCTGTGCCTTTGATTCTATTCTCTCATGTCTCCTCCAGGGTCTTAATCTAATGACGATGACTCTTCCTTTTCTATATCTTTACCCTCTTTCCCTTGTGATATTGTGATTTATAATGAGAAATATATATTTGGTCTTCACCCCTGATTCTGGGACAGAGCTCCTAAAAAACCCTCAGAATTTCCTAAGGGATAAGAGCAAAGGAGCATCTTTTTGGTCTTTTGACCTAGGTTTCCGAAATAGCTCCAGAGCCATAAGTGAAAGGAGCGTCTTGTTACTCATAACAAATCTCTTTCAACCACACCTGAGTCCATTTTAATGATGTGATCTCTGGAAAGCTCCTAAGGATGGGGGCTGGTTGCCAGGGGACCAACCATGTGATTAGAGGGTTAGAATTTTCATTCCCCTCCACCCCCCACTCCAACACCTTCAGGGAGAAGAGAAGGGCTGGAGGTTGAATAATCACCAAAGGCCAATGATTTCATCCATCATGCCTATGTAACAAACCTCCATAAAAACCCAAACACGCGTTACTGAACTCACGGAGGTGCTGGAGGGTGGCGTGCCTGGAGAGGGCATGGAAGCTCTGCATCTCTTCCCACATACCTTGCCCTATGCATCTCTTCTATCTGGCTATTCCTGAGTTACACCCTTTTACAAGAAACCAGTAATCTAGTAACTAAACTGTTTTCCTGAGTTCTGTGAGCCACTCTAGTAAATTAATGGAACTCAAGGAGTGGGTCGTGGGAACTTCCAGTTTATAGCCAGTCGGTCAGAAGCACAGGTGACAACCTGCTGCAAGGACTATAGCGAGGAAGCAGAGGAAGAACCACAGCTCACCTTCCACCGGGCTGTCAGGAACACAGCTTCCATAGCCTGGTCTCTGAGATGGGGCAGGACCCCAGCCATCAGGCTAGGCTGAAGGAGAGAAAAAGATAACAAGTAAGGCCAGCCCAAATTTGAAGCTCTCTCACTAGGCAGCCCCGGGACAGGGAATTCCAACTGGCGCCAACAAACCTCAGCTAATACACAGTCACTGTGTTTGGTGTTGGAATATGTGATAAAATGAAAGGAGCCGCTAGAATATAGTCTTTTTAGGAATTTCTGAAGCTAGTTCAATTTCCAAACCTTAGTCCAGGAGCACCTGTGGCCCTGCCCTCCCCTTCTTGCTAGAATATATTCTGCAGCACCTCACTGAGAGATTGAATATACACAAGGACCAGAGCATAGATAAAATAGAACTCTGACCCGCAACCTGCAGCAACCAACCCAGAACCCAAACCACAACCAATGCAGCAACAGGCCCCAAATCAGGACCTGCTCAACAACCGGCAGCTTATCCCTAATATGTGCCCCCACTCCTCCAATTTAAAACCAACAGAGAAAGTCCAATATGCCCCCTACCGAATCACATAGGACGTCCCACTACTACCTATTTAACCTGCCTCCAGCTTTCCCAAGCCAACAACCTCCAAACTGGGCAGATCGGAGCTTTCTCTTTTTCCCCACTCTAAAGCTTTCCCCTGCCTGTCTTTGAGTCTCTGCCAAATACAGGTGATGGCGGCCGACTCCCTTGCTAGAGCAGGCTCTGAATGAAGTCTCTGCTGTTCTCACTGGGGTGGTCTTCCTTTGTTTCTCCATCAGACAGAATCAGCTCAGAGTGTAAAAATGACTGTAGGGTAGTTATCAGAGATTTCAGGCTTATATTATACACACAGAGGTAATTTCTGTCTAAATAAAATTCAGAGAGCTTTACTTGATATGAATATTTCATTGAGGGAGAAACAAACTGTAAACAAGGAGACTTCAAAACTGAAAGTGTTCAGAAGGTGGGCTCTCAGCAGTTCAGCTCAGCGTATAAAGCATGTGAGGGGGAGCAGAACATGCCACCCCAAAATATGACTGCAGGAGTTCAGGACATGCCACCCCAAAATATGACTGTAGGAGTTCAGGGCACGCCACCCAAAATATGACTGTAGGAGTTCAGGGCACGCCACCCCAAAATATGACTGTACGAGTTCAGGGCACGCCACCCCAAAAGATGACTGTAGGAGTTCAGGGCAC